TATCCAGTGATTATTCAAAATAAGGGTTATGCACCCAGGCTTGCCTTGGGCAGGTGCAGTGTTAGCTCAGTCATTCAGTGGTGGCTCTAAGACCTCCTCCTATACGAGGATCTCCTCCTTGTACTCCTTGATCACCTCCTCGAACTCATGATCTTCGATGGTCACGATCTTTGCCAACTCGTTCTCTACATGAATGCGATGATGATGAAACACTTAGAATTTCGACAACAACTCTTAAAATAAGAATACACATGGTAAACTACTAAGCTAGCTCTAATGACTAAGATACTAAGCTAACTATCATCTTCATCAAGTAAAGTGTTGGGTTCAACTAACAAACACCTAGCTTAACAAATGAAGGATATATCTCTATTTCTACTAATGATTTAATGTATATTTGAAATAAAGAGCATTTAACTATCCTTATGTTAAGTCTATTCTAAAGCTACAAAAATTACAGTGAGCACATAATAATACCATGAAGCTACTATAAAATTTTCAAAGCTAATGCTATCACCATTTTGCCACAAAAATTCCTACAATATTTAACCTAATAATATTAAGCACTCTCAAATGATTTAATAGCTCTTGATATCGACAAGTATATATATCAACTAAATACACTAACAGATAGAGACAATTTTAGGAACTTAACTAAATTAGTTTCATAATTTTTGGTTACCTACATGATTTTATATTAATTACCAAAGTTCAGCACAGAATTAAAACGAAAAGTTATTTCTATTCTCCACAAAAAAACTAAACTGATTTTGGCCCAACGTGGCCCACACACGACGAAATGTGCGAGCCCACGTGAGCGCATGGCGGCCCGTGGTGCAGCCCACGCGACAACGGCCCGCGGCGAGAAAATCCCGCGTGCGTTGGCACATTAGCAAAACGCCCCTGACTATGAGCTCAGCATGACGTGAGTCAAGGCGGGGTGGGGTCGGCTGGAGACAGGACGTGAAGGCGGAGACGCGAGCACGAGGAATTGATGAGAGGTGCTCGCTCTCTGACTCACCATGACGTGACTCGACGGTGGTGGAAAGCAGAGAGAGAAGAGAGAAAGAGAGATATGAAGCGCGGCAGTGGGCTTGGCTCGTCCTTGCCTTGGCGAGACGCGAGCGGCGAGCTCAGGAGGCCCACACGCCGGTGCTATGGACAACATGTGCGAGCGTCCAACTGGCGTGGCCTGCGCGCCGCAGTGCCATAAATGGCATGGCGATGGTGGCTTGCCCACGTGCGTGCGGCAGAGGCGACACGCACAGGGGCAGCAATAACGCAGAGGTGTAGTGAACAGGCATGGACGCGACGACGATGCGACGATAGTGGCAGCGTCACGACGCGAGGAGCGTCAGCAGTGTGGACACGACGGTAGCACAGCGCGGCCGCGGCGGCACCTAAGACGGCAGCACGAGGCAAAGCAGCAGGGCACGGGGCCAGTGGCTCGCTGCGGCCGGCTTCGGCCAAGCCCAAGCGGCTCGACCGGCCAAGCGCGGTGGCACGGTTGACCACGCGGGACGTGGCCATGTGCGCAGCGTGAGAAGGTTGCGCGGTGACCGCGCTCCCGACGCCAACCAACCCGAGACAGTGACACGCATGAATTTTAAAGCGTTCAACGCGACCAAATGGTTGCTCCTAAACCTAAACCGTCTTCACCATGCTCAAGATGGCACATGAGACTACCAAATCGAGCTATAACACTACACCACTCCTTAACCCAATCTCTCACAATAAATTGCTAAACATAGCAGTGTCTAACTGTTGGCAGACTTGCAAATTTCTAAGTTTTTGAGCTGAATTTGATTTCCATTTCTGATTTCTAAGCTAGTGGAAATATTAGCTAGTAATATCATTTTTCGACCGCAATTATTTCATTGTCATCTACAAAGTTTGTACTTCAAACTTTATTTAAGTACCACATACATGTTCTATAGCATTTTTGCTTAATAAAAATTGGTTTTAAACCCTAAGTGATATAACATGACTATTGAATCAACTCTCGTTTCACATTTTTGTTGATCGTTTTGAGTTACGGAAATTGATCTACACACTTTATTACATGCATTAACACATAAACATGATGCTCATGACATATTTTAGTAAATGATTCACGGTGTAACACTGAGGGCCTGGCAAATAATGCAAGGTAAGGGCCCACATCTTCAGCTCTCTACCACCTACAATTCACTAAATCAATGAAGGAGCTAATGGAGACATGATTGACCCCACCATATTCTTCCTCCCCTTCATCCTTGCCATGATTAGAGCAAGGAGTTCCCACATCATATTTTTTTCTCTTCTCCATGAATTTGAAGCTTCATGGAAGGGGACGTAGCTTCACCAACATTTTCTCTAGTCCAACACGAGGCCCTTGCCTTGATCTAGTTTTCCCATGAGTAATTTCCCTATCAACATATCTCCCATATATTGGTCAACCCTAGAATCAACCATAAGTCCCCTCCCCCTTAAGACCTCTCATATTTTGTAAATGATTCTAGCTTTTAAACCTTGTCCATTTTGAAATTAGAAAGCTAGATATGTCCTATAACCACCTAGGAGGCCAGAGGAACAAATCATGTTCAAACACCTTAGTTGAATTGTCATCGGCAAGCCTGGCAACCAATCTTAGCCAAGTCTCACAGCTACTTGTTTAACACTAGTATATACATATCCCAATAGTGTTGGTCAACTAGGGTCAACCAACCAGATAAGGGCTTCACCTCTAGAGGTTAGATCACTACACTCTGTACTGGATCAGTTTGAATGCTATCGTGGCCAGCCAAACCTCCATGCCCCAAGAACCTAATTAACCTTGTGTCTTGTGATAACCTGGCAAGATTTATAAGGATATTAGTTTCTACACCGACTAAAGATGAAACTACTACAGAAAATATAAAAATCATAACTAGACTTGTAAATCTGCTCCACATAATTTGTCCCCAATGGAAACTAATTTTTCATAGCAAAATCATATATATGATTGTCAAGCATTTTGATTGTCTCAGGTTGTGAAGTCTAGCACCCCGTTATTAGTGTAGCAACACCATTCAACAATCATCTTGCCATGCCTCTTGTGGATCAAAGCTACGTGTAGTAACCTTCAATGCTTCAACTCCTTGCTCCAACATGTCATGATCCTCCTCTTGTTGTAGACCGACCTAGTAGTAGGAAATAAATGAGCAAGCCACATAAATAACCTCTGTAGGAGATCGAAATAGGTTCTTCTCAAAATATACATTATTGCGAGCTCTCTTTAGAGAGAACAAATGTCGAATAAGCCAACCATACTTCTTGACATGTGGCCAATACGTTTGTGCCTATATACAGAACTACTTAAACGAGCTAGTTGTGTAAGGCACACCTACAATATTGGTAGTGTGGGCTTGTGGACCCTATTCCGCGATACGTCTTACCTTCCTCTACATCACCACAACCAGTTTGTATCTTGCAAAGTGTTGATTTGCCAAGCCTCTCATCACATGATTTTTTCTTAAACCTTAGCTGCATGACTCCTTTACATTGAAATTGTACTTACTTCACACATAAGTAACAATCACTTTTTGCTGTATCTCTCAACTAATGATAATGTGGTTGATAATTAGTGTGTTGTAATCCTTCACAACATATAAATTTGGCTCAACTAACAAGCAACTCTTGTCATGAAAATCTTGGTGATTGGTTCCAAATCAGGCAGTACAACCCCTACAACAATAGTACAACCCGAATGTTCTATACACTCCCAAAAAAATGAGTAACTGGTGAATTGGATGCTCCAACAATAATTGAAGTTCTGAAGAGGAACAAAGGATCTCTATATTTTAGGTGCCTGAATTCTTAGACAATCAACTAGTATAATTAAAAGAACAACTCACAAATGTCATCTTACACATCCTATCCTATATATCTATATAGACGGAGGCCACTAGAATCATTGATTGCTATAAAGCTGCAACCACAGTGATCCATGTCATCAGCATTGTTTTGGTTGTCCAATCTTCAGCACCTAACGTGATCACAACCATCTGTCATAGCCGCTATGTTTCATTGCTTTTCTTTGCCACAACACGTAAGGATTGAAACTTCCTTTTTATCTAAACAAATACCTCTTGCAATTTGCATGATCTCTAATTAAGTAGTATTATGGTATTTTCTCAATGCGCATAATCAAGTGTTTGTGTAATCTCATCGGCTCAGGACGCTTAGTCCCCACCATCCATCATTAGCTTATCTTACATTATTCAAACAATACCATCAAATAGTTATAGCGTGAAACTATATATAGTACGATATATATACATTCTACATCTTTTTCTTTTAGTTTGATCATTTATAAAAATAAATAAAAACCTTCTACAAATCCGGCAGCCACGCATGGGATTTTTGTCTAGTTTTACTATAGTCAAACAACAACAAAATTACATGTTGTCGGGAAAACTAGACACCTAAAATATAGGAAAAGTGGGAGTAAAAAAAGGAAAGTCACGATTGTCATCCATGCCTGAGCCTTAAGGGAAATTAAAGCAGCACCAATCCACTCCAAACATCAGCTAGGCTCCTAGCTAGCCGACATGCTATTGTTTCATTGTTATTGCAGCATTTTTTCTGTGGTATCTCGACCGTCCAAACACCACATCGAGACATGTGCCATCCAAAACAGTAGTACGAGTGAGCAACACAAATCCCATAGTATTTTCAGCGTTGAAGATAGAGCATGCTGAACATGTACATGCTGCAATACATTTTTGGTGTAGAAAGCGTTACTCCTCTCCTTGCCTTTTCTTGATAGTAGCTTACCATGATTGCCTCACGGTTCCCCTTGCCTTTTTCTTAACCAGATCATATTTATTATTTTCCTCTAAAACAATATGATCATTTATTACACACCCTTGTTTGTTTGTTGCGTGCAAAGTGAGACCCGGTACGGTTGACATGCATTTGCATGGTTAACACTAACTTGCATACAGTGAGTCGACGGCCATCTACTAGTTGCGCGCGTGTCAGCATTGTGCCGGAGCGAACGACAAGGTTTCTGCCTCCAAATCGTAGAGCACGCGCATGTCCTGCTGCATCAGGTTGCCAATCGTCGAGCCATCATCGCCGGAGTCCGCCAGGAGGAGGCACAGGCGGCCCCTCCTGTGGTCGTCCAGGACGTAGTTTCGCCGCGGCAGGTCGAGGTCCGCGCCCTGGAAGTGGAACACCATCCTTGGGACCGGCACCTGTGACGTCGTCGACGAGCGCCGCCAGGCCGCTGGCACCAGGAAGCACACGCCGTCTTCGGGGTTGCCGCCGTTCGCGAACGGCAGCCTCAGCTGCTGGCGGAACGCCCGCACCACCTCCGTGAGCACCGCACCCGGTAGCAGCGTGAGTGCAGTGCCGGAGTCGACGATCACGCCGCCCGAGCCATCGGGCCGGAGCGCGAACGCCGACTCCGGTATCCGCAGCCGCCTGGCGCCGACGCTCAGGCCCGTGAGGTGGACGTAGTAGAAGGTCGGGTAGTGGAGGCTCTGGAGGAGCGGCGTGGTCTGCACGGGGCCGGTGGCGTCGCCGTAGACTCCACCGGACAGGGACCCGAACAGGAGGGTGCTCTTCCTGCCGCTGGCGTAGGACGTGAGGCAGTAGGAGAAGCGGCGGATGGAGAGCTGTGACACCAGCGAGAGCGGGTTCCGGCCGAAGCCCACGATGCCGGAGCCGTTGTTCAGGCTGCCGACGTTCATGGAGCCGCACCCGAAACCGAGCGGGACGGTCATGAGCCTGTCGCCGTCCGACGACGTGAAGGTGAAGCGCTCCGTGGCGTACACGCCCATGGTCATCGTGCCGTCGCCGTAGTTGTAGCGGTAGGTGCACGTGTCGGGCCTCTCGCAGCTGTGGTGCAGAATGTCGGAGCAGAGCTGCCCGGCGCACCGCATGGGCTCGTACGACACTGACTCCCCGGCGCGAACAGCGGGTCCGGCTGCGTGAGGCAGCTGGCGCACGGCGCGCACTGCGTCCAGATGAGGTCGCTGCCGGTGTCGAGCAGCACCGAGACGGGCTGCGGCGGCGTGCCGATGGCGAGGTCGACGACGTACTCGAGGTCCCCCGACGGGCGCACCGGCACGCCGGTAGGCGGCGTTTGCTGCTGCTCGTTGTTCTTGCCAGAGAAGCGGGCGCTGGCGCGGTTCCTCACCGCGGAGAGCGCGACCGCCCTCGCCTTGCTCCGCTGCATGGCGCGCCGGATCAGCTCGGGCCTGGACAGCTGCTTCCCTGCGTCGACATGCTTTAGCGCGACGCGGACGTCGTCGTCCCCCACGAACGCTGGTGCCGCCGGGCAGGCGTACAACGACGCTATCGCAAGCACCAGCACTACCAATCTTTGCTCCATGTTTTTGTTGTGCTCTCTAATAATGCCCTATAGCTTGCGCACCATGCTCGCCCCTTGTAGCTAGGTGATGGCTATATATGTGCGAGGTGATTATACTCCGCGCACGGCATACACACGATATATATTCTTGCACCGTCTTGATGCAAATGCATCTAGGCAAGCTGGGAAGGAAAGCAACGGGCAGGATTGCCCATGAAACTTCACAAAATTCGTTTGCCGATGGTGGTCTAGGCACCGAATAAGTCGGGGAATGCTCTTGGGGCACCCAGCTGCGAAGATCAAGAGAAAAGTTGGCGACCTGTAACTCACCAGCTGCACAAGGGCACTAGACAGTAATAGGGGCTATACCATGGCTACAACTCTTGACGTGACCGCCGAATTTTGAGGAGGAATGCACGTATGTGGCTGGAGGTGAAAAGAGGGCCGATCCGAGATGCTGCCGGGCTCCTGTGGAGACATAAATATTCTAGTCATCGATCTGGGGCTACATGTGCGAATCTAATTCGGACCTAATCCAAGCATGCTTTCATTAACACGGCAAGTAAATAAAAGTAAGCGATCCATGAGAAGATGGTGTCACTGTCACCTGACCTGAGAGGCGATTCTGATCTAGTAAAATGAGTGGACATGGCATCTTCAGGTTAATTGGGTCTGTCTGAATGAGTGGCTGTTGCGTGTACTGAGCACTAACCAAAATGCATTCTGATCTATGCCAGCCAATTTCATCTGCATCACTCACTAGCTGCGCTTCGGGTTGCCAAAGAATTATGCCTCCAATACAAATGGAATGAAGGTTGGTGTGATGGTAACGTGACTGCAAACGTGCCGCTGCACACGTAGTTTGGAGGCTTGTCAACCAGGGGCAGAGCTACGGACCGCCCTGCACTTTCGGTCCAAGACCCATTACATTCCTGCAATTTTGGCCGATCAGGCGAGAAGTATTTGTTGTTCCTGCTTCACCATGAACAGAAAGATCGAAAGAGTCGCCCCCGACGCTTGACGGCCCCGACCCTTTGTCATTATCGGAAACCGGATGGATCAAGAGCGCGAGTGATCAGAGTTATAGCACTTATTCGGGCCGGTCCGTAAACGGACTCCGCAGTTGGGCCATCGGCCCGTGTAACGTTGATAGACGCTATCGGGTTTGACGCCGAGCAGCACTCCAGTCTCCAGGCCCCCAGCAGTCAACACCAGCACTCTGGAACAGAGTACGAGTACTCTCGAGTCTCGAATCCTGATCTGCCTATCTTCCTTCCTGCTGTCCAACAGCCACCTGGTATGGGAAGAAGTGCTAGCCTCCTTTGTGAAGGCGTGAAGTGGCCTGGAGCCCCGAGTCGCCAGAAGAAGAGGCTATGAAATACGGAGGCACCAGCGCCTGAACGTCCAGCGTCAACAGCGTGTCCGGACGCAGCTCGGCCAATCGAATCGTGGGCTAACGTCACAGCCCATCAACAAGACTGTCCTATCTCAGCATCCTGCATAATAAAAAAAACTGAAGGAACCGAAGCGCTATCTATCCGCGTAACATAAGGTGCCCATGTAACTGAAGGAGAGCGTGTGCTCACGTCCGCGCCATCATCCCCCGACGCGCCCCCTCGACCGGCCCCGCCGTGCCCCCTCCACAGTTTGAGAAGGATGCATGGCAGCAGAATGCGAAAAGGAGACACCATGGCGAGGAGGGAGATGCAACACCCGATCTACTTTTGAAATATCCAGATACAACAGTGCAACATACGTATAAAGACAGATGAAACGTTTGAAACATGCGTCTGAAATATTTGCAAAAAATAGATGAAACACTTGAAAACTATTGCAACACGTGCACAACATCCAGATAAAATACTTGCAACAAATGTGTGAAACATATGCAACATCTAGATAAACACACTTGCAATATACGTCTGAAAAAAAATATGAAACAATGTGTCGGTGCAGAAAATGACCAACACGTAAATACTTGTAGTTTTGCCGTACGTTGTGATCGGATGTGGCCTAACACTCAATGACACAGGGTTTATACTGGTTCAGGCAACGTGCCCTACATCCAGTTTGACTCGGTCGGTGACTTTATTCCTGAGCCCAGGTGCTCGAAATTTGCTGTGGGATTACAAACGGAAGAGAGAAATATGGGGGTATAAGAGGTCCGATCGGACTCTGATTTGAAGGGCCGAGAGTGACGGGAGTTCCGCTATGTGCTAAGTGTTCGAACGTTTGTTGTTCGTTGGGATCCTTGGTCGTTCGGATCGTGTATGTTGTTTGAGTTGTCGTGGACTGATTCCCTCCTTTGGGAGAGAGCGTACCCCTTTTATAGATGAAGGGGATGGCCTTACAAGAGAGAGTGTGTACGTATGCTAAGTCTCGTTGCCCATGTCGTCAGGTACAAGATGATTGTAGGCGCCCATAACACTGTTAATGTCAGATGCATGTGGGGGATTGCGTTGTCTTCTTCTGGTATGCCAGACGTCGGTGCCTGCCATGCTTTTGATGCCCAGAGGCATGCAGGGGTTTTACCGTGCTCGTCTGGTATGGGAGTTTGCGGGCGCCCACAACACTGTAGGGCAAATGTCGGCGCCCACAACACTGCTTGGGTTCTAACGTACCTAGAAGGTTGCAGGGCACTCATCTGACATGTCCTGTCGGTACTGTCCTGTAGGTGTACAGGATACGGTCCTCGGTATTGCGGTTGTCTTGAGTGCACTGCCCTACTTACTCCGTCCGTTTCCTTTGGTCCCAGTTGGCTTCGACTGCGCTAGTCGGTGAAGAGCTGTAAGCAGGGGTTCGGTGCGTCCCCGGTCGGAGACGCGGGTTGGAGTTCGGAAGCGGTGTTTGGCTAGGCCTTCCGGTCGAAGAGGCGGGCTAGAGTCGGAAGCGAGCGTCCTCCTTGTCCAGGCCTTCCGGTCAGAGAGGTGGGCTGGAGTCGGAAGCGAGCATTGTTCCTCCTTTGCGAGGCCTTCCGATCGGAGATTGGATCGCCCTTCTGGCCTGTCGTTTTAGGTGTTTGGGCCGGCCCAGGAGTTTACGCGTCGTTCGCAACGTCGTCTGCTTTGGGCGAGCTTTTCTTTGGGAAGCTGGTCCATGAGGGACCCGGGTTTATGAACCCGACAGAGCCCCAAGCCCCCGGGCGATTCGGGTAGAATAAATGCTGGGGTTTTTTATCTTGACGGGGGTGTGGGAGCGCACCCGTGGGTGTAGCCCTCGAGCCCCGGGCGATTCGTGTAGAATCATCTGGGGTTTTTTCGTGTTGACTGCGGGGGAAGTTTTGTTTCATCAGTGGATGCTGCATGGCCTGCACGAGTGTAGCCGAGCCCCGGGCGATTCGGGCGAGAATCGCCTGGGGGGTTTTAGTCAACGGGCGTGAGTGTGTGCATTTTGGTGGGCGTAACCTCCCTTTTCCAGTTTCGCCCATCGTTTCTAGGAGGCGTGGTCCCAGGCGTTTGGTCGTGGCGAGGATTGGGCGAATCGAGTCACGAATCCAGGGATCAGGTGAGTCGGAGTCGCTAACCAAGGCGTTGGGCGTGCCAAGGGATCGGACGAGACGGACTCGCGGATCCAGCGTTGGGAGCACGGGGTATCGGGTGAGTTGGAGTCGCGGATCTAGGCGTCGGGCGGCGCCGTGGGATCGAGTGAGTCGAGTGTCACGGACCTAGGCGCAGCCGAGGCATTTTGGGTGTCTTGAGCCCCTGAGCCCCGTTGGTCTTGGTAGGGTCGATTGAATTTTGTGCGTTACCCGTCCGCGGTTTCTCGCATAACCGGAGGGGCTGAGCTAATGTCGCTTGCCTCGATGGCTCGAGTGCGCGCTCAGTGAGCTCACTAACGGGCACGTTCGAGTGAAGTCCGGGTCCGTCATTCGTGACGGGTCAGCATAGCCCTCATGTGGCACTCAAGCTGCTCCTTAACCCGCAACCCGGCAGATGCCTGGGTCATTCCGGAGACCGACCGGGTGGACCGCTGGCCTCCCTCGATGGAGATTCTATGGGTTTGGCTCGAGGTTAGGATCGAACGAGAAGATTGAGATGACCCTGTCTACTTTAGGGCGATAGGCGAGGACCGCCGGGCACATCTGCGCTTTTCTCCCCGGCTCTATTTGGCGCAAAGGCGGCCTCGAGCCCATCGTGGGCGACCTTGAACCTGGCGGTCGTTGCTCAAGTTGAATGAGGCAAGCGCCACCCGTGGACTTAACACGGAGGCGTTGTGATGCATTTGCTTCGCATATGCAATGCTTTTGGATGTATGGAATGAATGAATGCGTGCGTGGATGAATGAATGTCCATATAAAGAAATAGTAGGGGTTGGTAATGTTACCTTGTTGACTCGAGTGATGGGGTTTGAGGAGCTCCTATCGGATATGTTTGACCGCGCGCGAGCGCACCCACGGGTGTAGCCCCCGAGCCCCCGGGCGATTCGGGCAGAATCGCCTGGGGGGTTTTGTCAACGGGCGTGAGTGTGTGCATTTTGGTGGGCGTAACCTCCCTTTTCCAGTTTCTGGCCCATCATTTCTAGGAGCGTGGTCCCAGGCGTTTGGTCGTGGCCGAGGGATTGGGCGAATCAGAGTCACGAATCCAGGGATCAGGTGAGTCGGAGTCGCTAACCAAGGCGTTGGGCGTGCCAAGGGATCGGACGAGACGGACTCGCGGATCCAGGCGTTGGGAGCACCGGGGTATCGGGTGAGTTGGAGTCGCGGATCTAGGCGTCGGGCGCGCCGTGGGATCGAGTGAGTCAGTGTCACGGACCTAGGCGCAGCCGAGGCATTTTGGGTGTCTTGAGCCCCTGAGCCCCGTTGGTCTTGGTAGGGGTCGATTGAATTTTGTGCGTTACCCCGTCCGCGGTTTCTCGCAACCGGAGGGGCTGAGCTAATGTCGCTTGCCTCGATGGCTCGAGTGCCGCGCTCAGTGAGCTCACTAACGGGCACGTTCGAGTGAAGTCCGGGTCCGTCATTCGTGACGGGGTCAGCATAGCCCTCATGTGGCACTCAACTGCTCCTTAACCCGCAACCCGGCAGA